TGATAGAACCCTTGCCTACCATGATAAATGTATTGTAGATCCGGGGCTATAGCTCATTGGTAGAACCCTTGCCTACCATGATAAATGTATTGTAGATCCGGGGCTATAGCTCATTGGTAGAACCCTTGCCTACCATGATAAATGTATTGTAGATCTGGGCTATAGCTCATTGGTAGAATCCTTACCTACCATGATCAAGACTCCAACTTAACTCCCAGCCACACACAAAAAGGATCGACATTTAATGGCACTCAAAATTATCCATTTTTATGAATTATACATTAAAATAAGGTGTTTAAAACCTTTATGACATTAAAAGATGAAAAGTATACTGTGAAGCTTAGCATGGTGGCGCAGACCTTTAATCCCAGCACCCAGAAGGCAGAGTCAGGAGGATCTCTGTGAGTTCAAGGCCAGCCTGGTCTACAATTCTAGGGCTAGTCAGTGAGACCCTTCTCAAAATAGAGTACAGTGTGTGCATTATCCTAGTTTGACACATTGTTGGCCTTACTTTACCCTTTTCAGTGTAGAACCAAACCAAATTTATTTTTATTAATCTCTTGTTGGACAGAAATTTAGTGTTGTGCCCCTTCAATTTCTTCCTGTTGCGAATGTTTTATGAACATTCTCATAGTTGTATCTCTGAGTATCTGCTTTGTTTAAGATAAACTCCCTCAGTGGGGGCTAGGGAGACGTGAGAGTAAGAGCACTTGATGAGACATGAGTTCACATTCTCAACACCCAGGTAAAAAGGTGGGTGTGGCTTGCATACATAGCCCTAGCGCTGTGGTGGGTGGAGAAAGGTGGCCAGCATATTATGTGTGTGATGCATGTCACATGTATGTCACCAGCCCTGTTCCCGGTTCAGTGAGAAACCCTGTCTCAGATGAGTAAGGCAGAGAGAGGTAGACCAGGACATCCGACATCCTGCTTTGGCCTCCACACATGCACAGGCATTTGTACTCATACATGCTTGTGCATACATCACACACATGGACACATGGACACTTGCATACACATATACACAAAAAAATTAATTCCCATAAGTAGAATTTCTACTGGCAAATTAAAATCTGTAATTTGGGCTGGGAATGTGGTCACTGTGGCAGAGCTTCCCTGTTATGCACGAGGGAATGCAACCCCATCATTACAAAAAATATTCCATCATTTCTATACTAATATGTATTTTCATCACCAATGTGTGGATATTTCTTGGGCTGGAGAGATGGCTCAGCAGCTAAGAATACTTGCTGCTCTTGCTGAGGACTCAGGTTTGTTCCCAGCACCCCCATGGGTACAGCTCCCGTCCATTTATAACTGCAGTTACAGGACACTTGACACCCTCTTCTGGCCTCCTCAGGTACTGCACACACATGGTGAATATACATGCAAGAAAAATACTCATAACTCATAAAATAAAAAAATCTTTTTTTTTTTTAGGAGAAAGATTCCTATTGCTGCCATATTCTAGTCAGGAGCACACTAGGTTTCATATATGCCAACTGGATGAATGAATAGCTCAGTGTTTTCCTTTCTTGATTGACAGACTGTTTCTTAGTCACATATTTCTATGAATTATATCCATCTTTTCTCTATTTAATTTTATTTATTTATTTTGGTTTTTTTGAGACAGGGTTTCTCTGTGTAGTCCTGGCTGCCCTGGAACTCACTCTGTAGACAAGTCTGGCCTTGAACTCAGAGACCTGCCTGCCTCTGCCTCCTGAGTGCTGGTATTAAAGGCGTGTGTCACCATCTCCCATATATTTTTTTAAAATATTTATTTTGAGGCTGGAGATTTGACTGAGTGGTTAAAAGGGCTGACTGCTTTTCCAGAGGATCATAGCACCTATATAACAGCTCAAATCCACCTGTAACTCTAGTTCCAGGGGATCTGAAACCCTCATCTGGTCTCCATGCATAGCAGACACATATGTGGTGCACAGACATATATGTAGACAAAACATATAAAATAAATAAAAGTTAAAAATATTTATTTTCTTTGTATTCATGGGTATATGTCTTTGTGAGTGCAGGCATCTTGTATGCAAGTATGTGCAGGTGCCCTCAGAGGCCAGCTGGGGTTACAGACAGTTGTGAGCAGGTGCCCTCAGAAGCCAGCTGGAATTATAGACAGTGTGAGCAGGTGCCCTCAGAGGCCACCTGGAGTTAGAGAAGGTGTGAGCAGACGCCTTCAGAGGCCATTTGGAGTTACAGACCATTGTGAGCAGACACATTCAGAGGCCAGCTGGAGTTACAGACAGGTGTGAACTGGCGCCCACAGAGGCCAGCTGGAGTTACAGACAGGTGTGAGCAGGTGCCCTCAGAGGCCAGCTGGAGTTAGAGACGGGTGTGAGCAGACGCCTTCAGAGGCCAACTGAAGTTAGAGACATCTGTAAGCTGTCTGATGCGGATACTGGAAACTCTACTCCTCTGGAAGGGCAGCAAGCATTCTTAGGCACTGAGCCTACCCTCAGCCCCGTTCTTCTAATTCTATCTAATTATTTCTTCTGTCTATAATGTTCTTCTCAACACTGTCTAATCTTAATTTGTGCCTCTGTGTGTGTTTGTGTGATGCGTGTGTGCACATGCCTATATATGTATTGTGGAGAACAGAAGTGGACATCATGTGTTCTCCTGATCATTTTCCTTTTGAGACCCTGAGCCTGCTTGGCTGCAATGGCTGGCCACTGAGTTCAGGGATCTGCTTGTCTCTGCTCGAGCACTGGGCCGGGGCACACACCTCTATATCGGCTTTTACACGACTGCTGGAAATCTGAACTCAGGTTGCCATACTCGGGCAGCAAGCACGTTACCCACTGAGCCATCTTCCCAGCCCCGTTACCCTCCTGTTTTTATGTAGCCTTCTCACAGAGCTCAGAGATGCCTCCGTGGCTAAAGCTTCCCTCCGGCCCACCACACAGACTGCCGGCTCCTGTCACCCTTGCTGACGGCTACATGGGCGTCACGAGTCACCTTCGAATCCTTTCTTCTGTCTCCTTTACTATCGCTATCCCCCACTCCTCCTTCTCACAAGATGAGAATTTCACCCAGTTTGTTCACTTTCATATTCCCCATATCTCCAACACACAACACACCCTCTATAAATATTTCCTGGTAACACCTGCTTGTAATTTCAATACTTGGAAGGATGAGGCAGGAGGACTACATGAGTTCCAGGCCAGTCTGAGCTACGAAGCAGGCACCAGGCCAGCCAAGACCTCTCTCTAAGACATCTCATAAACAAACAAATGTGCACACAAACTTTCAGATTGAAGGCTGGGGAGATGGCTCAGTGGGCAAGAACACTTGCTGAACAAGTACAAGGACCTGAGTTCAGATCCTTAGAAGACACGTTAACAGCTGGGCATGGTCGTGTGTGTGTCTATAACCCCAGCACTGTGGTGGGTAGAGACAGGAGGCTCTCTGGGGCTTTCTGTCTGCCAGCAGAGGTCCAGGTCACGTCGCTGGAGTGATGTAGAATATGACACAGCAGGACAACCGACATCCTCACTTGGCCTCTGTGTGTGTGTGTGTAATATCACACACACCTGAGAGCATATACCACACACACACAATCACACATACTCACATACATGCTTTAAAATTTCATGGATTGAGCTAGGCGGTGGTGGTGCACACCTTTAATCCCAGCAGTTGGAAGGCAGAGGCAGATGAATCTCTGTGAGTTCAAGGCCAGCCTGGTGTACAGAGTGAGTTCCAGGACAGTCAGGGCTACACAGAGAAACCCTGTCTCAAAAAAAAAAAATTCACTGGTTGAATGAATGGATGAATAAAAAACATTTTTTAGTTAACAGACATTCCTCTATTTTTTTAAGGCAAGGTATGTAGTTCAGGACTCCTTATGATTGCATTCCTCGTGCCCCTGCCTCCAAAGTGCCAGGACTAAAGTCATCCACCACCACGCCCAGTGATCAAGGTTTTGAACCATGTGTATACCTGTTACAGAGGCAGTAACACATCACAGGTGCTGGGATCAGTGAGGCCTGGGATTCCATCCCAGCTCAGCTTCCACGCTTCCCAGTCACACGTCCTTTGGAAAGTCACCTGACCTCTGTGTTCTGGTCTGTGAAATAAACGAGGCAATGGTAGAGACTCATCCTTATAATTAAATGATGCAAACATGGAGCACAACAGCGGTGCACGTTGGGAGGAGCACACAGGAGGAGTGGGAGGCAGTGTGAGTTCGGGAAACATCTTGCAGCATTAGCTGAATGGCGATAGGAACTTGAAATCTCTGCCCAGAGCTGCTCCTGGTGCACACAGCACAGCAGGACTGCCAGTCAGCACTGCCCCAGGGAAAGGTGACTGGTTGCCAAAATGTTGAAAATGAGTGACAGTTAGTTCAGAAAGAACATGAATTATGAGGCTGGAGAGATGACACAGGAGTTAAGGGCACTGGCTGCTCTTCCAGAGGACAAGTTCAATTCCCAGCAACCACATGGTGGCTCACAGCCATCTGGGATCTGATGCCCTCTTCTGGCCTGCAGAACAGCACTCATACACATAAAATGAACAAGTCTTAAAATAAGAGCACATACTATTCCTGCAGAGGAGCAAAGTCTGGTCCCAAATACTCACCAGAGCCACCTCTGGCAACACCAGCAGACCTAACATCCTCTCTGGCCTCTGTGGGCACACACATGCATGCGCACAAAACCACAGAGGTAAACAAAATATAAATCTTATTTTAAACGGTGAAATTATTCCCACTGAAAATCTGCTTTTAAAAAATTTTAAAAATTTCTTCTCTCATATATTACATCCCATCTGCAGCTCCCCCTCCCTCCCCTCTCCTCAGTTTCTCCCCTACACCTCTCTTCTCCCCCAGATCCTCTCCTCTTCCCTCAGAAGAGAGCAGGCCTCCCAGGACACGCACATCTGCCAAACACAGATAGCAAGCTACAACAAGACAGGCACATACCGTCACATCCAGGGCAGCTGAGGCAACCAGGAGGAGAAGGGTTGCACCAGTAGGCAAAGGGGTCAGAGACAGCCCCTGCTTCCACTGTTCGGGATGCCAAGCGACACAGCCGTGACATCTATAGAGGATCCACTGAAAATGTGAAAGCGTGAAGGAAATGAACAGAAAAGTGATGAGTCAACAAAAATGCCTAATTCCCTGAAATATGATAAAATACAAAAATCAATCATCTTTTACACCAATAATATTCAGAATGACAACAAAAACTTTTTTATAATTAATATTTTACTTTATATACTTTGCCTGAATGTACACCCGGGTAACACTTTCATGCCTGATGCTTCCAGAGGTCAGAAGAGGGTATCCCCCTAGGAACTGGAGTTACAGATGGCTGTGAGCCACTATGTGGGTGCTGGGAATTGAACCCTGTTCTTCTGGAAGAGCATTCAGTGCTCTTAGCCACTGAGACTTCTCTCCAGGCCAACAACAACAACAACAACAAATCACTATTTTACAAATGCTGAGATACAAGTAGGAAACTGTTATTTTCCAAACTGTAGATGAGAGAAAATACAGTTTACTAGATAATCTATAAAGACTTCTAACCAGGAGCACAGGTCCGAGCATATCGCAGCACCGACTGTGATCCTACTTGCTCTTCCCCTTGGTTTGAACATTTCAAAAATAAAACCCAGCAGGATTGCACAGGAGTGGAGAGAGGCCCCATCCTACGCTAGCCTCAGCAATCCCAGGTTAGTCCGGAGTGGCCCTGTCCTACGCTAGCCTCAGCATTCCCAGGTTAGCCCAGAGAGGCCCCGTCCTACGCTAGCCTCAGCAATCCCAGGTTAGTCCGGAGTGGCCCCGTCCTACGCTAACCTCAGCATTCCCAGGTTAGCCCAGCTCACTGGACTTAACCTTGCTGCTTTTATTGACTGTTCACCATGGCTACGAGCAGAATACTTGTTTTTCTTACTGCTACCTGCTTTTCTGTGTGAAAATGTTCATGCCAAGTTAAACTGACACCAATCCCCAGTGCATTTTTAAGCCAGGAGTCTGTTGACAGCAACCTTCTCTTGAGTTAACCAGTCACTGAACTGGCCAAGCCCAGGGCATCGAGGACTTGCCAGATTCTTGGCAGCGATGACTACTGATCAACCTTAAACAGGGCTGGTGCCAGCAGTGGTGGACCATGACCTCTGCTGACCCCTCCCCCATTATTTTTTCTCTTCTAGAACTGTCAACAACGGGTGACAGGGGCATAGGGACTGTGGTGGCCCCTGTGCCTGGTGAAGAGGAACACAGATGGGACGGGCCGTAGGAGAGCTTCAAAGGAGAGGTTGCCGAAAGGTGTGAGCAGGTGGGATGTGCAGCGACTTCGCCTCTTGCTGTCTCCAAGTCTCTATCCTCAGCAGCCAAGGGTGCTTCCTGCAGCCCAGAGCCCCGGCGCTTCCAGGAAGGCCAGGAAAGCTAAGAGAAGCCACTGTGCTTCTGCGCTGAGAGCCACCTGCCTTCCTTCCCCTCTCTTTCTTCCCTTTCCTTTTTGAAAAATTAAAATGCCACGTTTTAGAGCAGTTTAGGCTCAGGGGAGAATAGAGTTCCCTCACAGCAGTGCCTGCCCCGCAGACTCTGCCACCCACGTCCCCTAGCCCTGCTGCGTTGGCGACAGCGAGGGACCTCGGTTCTTAGCTGACACATGATCACCAGAAGTCCAGTTTACCCTTGCATACATACAGCGACACCCACCACCATTACAGCATCACACGGGGCAGGGTGGCCGCCTCCGTATCCTCAACCCTGGCACCCCCATCCTCACCACTGTCTTTGCTTTCCCAGGGTGCTAACTAGAGGGGCTCATGGACTGTTTCCTTCCCAGGTTGGCTACCTCCCTCCCCCACCTCCTTCTGGTTTCCTTGCTCTTAATAGCATCACCATTGCCAGGTCACAGATGAGGAAACCTAGGTGTGGAGAGACGACACAGCCTGCCCAGGGTCACTCAGTAAGTGCCAGAGCAGAGACCAAGTCCAGCACTCCAAGTCTTGTTCACTTGGGCCCCTGCATCTCCATGATTATTTTCACTGGCCAGGAAACAACAGAGGTCCACCAGGCAGCAGTCTGGACTCTTCACAGCTCCTGGCTGCAGTCACAGACTCCATGAGGAAGCAAGAGGTGAGGACAGATAGAGAGGCATGCAGGGCCTATAATGCCGACTCCCCAGCTGAGCAGGTGAAGGCCCTTGTGGATCTGCTGGCTAGGAATGGTGGTCGGCTACTACAGGCCCCTAGCAAAATGCCAGACTCCCCACTAGGATCCCAAAGCAATGGTAAGTCCCTTTTAGGGGTGGGGGAGAGGGGGTACCTGAACCCCCTCGCCTTGCCCTGCGATCTTACCTGCTTTTTCCTGCGCCCTGCAGACTCAAGGATACGGAGGCACTGTGAGGCCCTGCTGAGCAGGGTGGGAAATGACCCAGAACTGGGCAGCCTCTCACACCGTCTGGCCAGCCTCCTGCTGGTTGAGGGCCTGACAGACCTGCAGCTGAGGGAGCATGACTTCACACAGGTGGAGGCCACGCGGGGAGTGTGGCACTCCGCCAGGGCCATCCCCCTGGATAGGCTCTTCCTGCCTCTGTCCCGGGTGTCCATCCCACCTCGCGTCTCTGTCACCATTGGCGTGGCTGGCATCGGCAAGACTACGCTAGTGAGGCATTTTGTTCGTTGCTGGGCTAGGGGACAGGTGGGCAAGAACTTCTCACTGGTTCTACCCTTGACCTTTCGGGACCTGAACACCTATGAGAAGCTGTCTGCTGACAAACTCATCCACTCCGTCTTCCCAAACGCTGGAGAAGGTAACCTGGAGGTAACGACCCCAGACAGAGTCCTCCTGGTCCTGGATGGCTTGGATGAGTGCAAGACACCGCTGGAATTCTCCAACACCATGGCCTGCACAGACCCAAAGAAGGAGATTCAGGTAGACCACCTGATCACTAACATCATCCGAGGCAACCTCTTTCCAGAAATTTCCGTCTGGATCACCTCCCGTCCCAGTGCTGCTGGTCAGGTCCCCGGAGGCCTAGTGGACCGGATGACTGAGATCCGGGGCCTTACTGAGGAAGAGATCAAAGCGTGTCTGGAGCAGATATTTCCTGAGGACCAGACCCTCTTAGGCCAGGTGCTGACTCAGATGAAGGCCAACAAGGCTCTGTATCTGATGTGCACCGTGCCAGCCTTTTGTAGGCTCGTGGGGCTGGCACTGGGTCACCTGTACCACAGCAAGCTAGCTGTCCAAGACACAGAGTTGCCGCTGCCCCAGACCCTGTGTGAGCTCTACTCTTGGTACTTTAGGATGGCCCTTGGTGGGGAGGGGCAGGACAAGGGAAAGGTAAGTCCTAGGATTGAGCAGATGGCCCAGGGAGCCCGCAAAATGGTGGGGACACTGGGCCGCCTGGCCTTTCATGGGCTGGTCAAGAAGAAATACGTGTTTTATGAGCAAGACATGAAGGCATTCGGCGTGGACCTCGCTTTGCTGCAGAGCGCTCTGTGCAGCTGTCTCCTGCAACGGGAAGAGACTCTGGCCTCCTCGGCAGCCTATCGCTTTACCCACCTGTCTCTGCAAGAATTTGTGGCGGCCATGTATTACTACAGCGCATCCAAGAGAGCCATCTTTGACCTCTTCACCGAGAGTGGCATGTCTTGGCCCAGGCTGGGTTTCCTCACGCATTTCAGGTGTGCGGCCCAGAGAGCCACACAAGCTCAGGATGGGAGGCTGGATGTGTTTCTGCGCTTCCTCTCTGGCCTCCTGTCTCCAAGAGTTAATACGCTGCTGGCTGGCTCCCTGCTGGCCCAAGGGGAACACCAGAACTACCGGGCCCAGGCAGCTGAGGTCCTGCAAGGCTTGCTACGCCCTGACACCGCGGTGTGTGCACGGGCCATCAATGTCTTGTACTGCCTGCATGAGCTGCAGCACACAGAGCTGGCCCGCAGTGTGGAGGAGGCCATGCAGAGGGGGACCTTGGCTGGACTGACCAGCCCCTCGCATCGCACCGCTTTGGCCTACCTCCTGCAGCTGTCTGATATCTGTTCCCGGGAAGCCAACTTATCCCTGTGCCTCAGCCAGAGCGTCCTTCAGAGCCTGCTGCCCCAGCTGCTCTATTGCCAGAGCCTCAGGCGAGTGTGGGGTCCATGTTGGGAGTAAGGGCAAAGGACAAAGACTCAAAATGGTTCCTTGTTTCATCACATCGCCTAGCTGGGTGTGGAGCCATCATGGCGGCTGATTTAATTCTGGAGGTCAGAAGTCCGAGGTCAGAGCATGGGCAGTACTCTCTCTGAAACCTTGGTAGCAGGGCCGATCCTGCTGGAGCTCCCGAGGGCCAGCAGTCTTTGATGCTCCCTGGTCTCCCTTGTCATATGACCACCTACCCCTAAGTCTGTCTTCATGTGACACTCTCTTTTCCTACAAGGACATCATCACATTGGGTTATAGGCTCACCTATGTCAGTGTGACATCCTCCTATCTGCAATAAGCTCACATCCATATAAGGCTACGTTCTTGAGACAGCAAGATTAGAATTTCAACACAGAAACACAATACAACTCACGAGGCCCTCTGAGATCCAGGCATCCCAACTCATACCTGTAATCCCAGCAATCAGGAGGCTGAAGAAGGAAGATTGCTGAGTTCCAGGACAATATGGGCTATATAGCAAGGTTGTTTTTTTTTTAAGAATGATTTTCTATTTTTCTAAAAGAAAACATATTTTTTTCATCATACATATCAATCCAAATTCCCACTCCCTTCTCTCCTCCCATTCCCTCCACTTACCCCCCACTCCACCCCCACATCCACTCCTCAGAGAGGGTAAGGCACATTATCCAAGGCCCTCCCTACTATATCTAGGCTGAGCAAGGTATCCATCCAAAGAGAATAGGTTTCCAAAAAGCCAGTACAAGCAGTAGGAATAAATCTTGGTGCTACTGCCAGTGGCCCCTCAGTCTGCCCCAGCCCATAGCAAGATTTTATATATAATAAAATCTTGCTGCAGGAGGTAGGCCAGAGCAGTGTGATGCAAGGGGCTGTATATACACACACACACACACACACACACACACACACACACACACAAAGCCAGTCAGTGTTGACAGAAGCTACATCCTCAACCATACTCTGAACTTAACAATCAAAGAGGAAAAGATGTCGGACATAGGTCAATCAGGACCTGAGAGTGGTTTGGGCATCAGAAGGAAAACTAGCCACAGTGTTCCACACAGGCACCTGGTGTCAGAGCTGTTGTGACAACACTCTGTAAGGTGCCACGGAGGAGGGACAGCGCAGCTCACAGGAACCGCCTCAGCTGCCCCCACAGGGAAGTCTGGAGTTCCGAGCTGAAACAGTGGACCACAGTGGGGATGGGAGGGGTGGAGCCCTGCCCTGCTAATTGTCATGGTTTCTCCCAGCCAGGCTGGACAACAACCAGTTCCAGGACCCTGTGATGGAGCTGCTGGGCAGTGTGCTGAGTGGGAAGGACTGTCGCATTCAAAACATCAGGTAACACAGACCCCAGTGTACATGAAGGGGCGCAGTGTGATCGGTAATTAATGGTCCACTAGACTAGCTTACAAAAGATACAGCTTTAATAAAACAGAAGGAAAATTTACACCAGAATCTCAACTGTCAGGAATGCTGGAGCCAGGCGAGAGAGGGCGGGGAAGTGCACCCGCCAGGTTTATAGGTAAATTTTTGCCTTAGGGCAACACGCCCCATGGACAGAATGTGATTGGCTGAACTCCCCTATCATCTCCCCCTTTTTTCTAAAATAAGACAGAATGAAACCAAATACAACTATGTACAATAGAAACAAATAATAAATATAAAATTACAAACAACAAACAATATTAAGCAGGAAACATAACAAAAGTTTTACTAAACATTCTATTTCAAGGAGTCTAAATAATGTAGAGGGTAACTACAACTATCTAATCTTCAACTCCATCAAAGATCTGAGAAGGGAAATAATTTTACTCAAGCAGCCCGGAAGTACAAGTGGGAAACTTCCGAAATGTGCAACAAATGGAAGAGACAACTGATTACCTGGGCAATCACCCAAAGTCTCATTTGCAATGTTGAGTCAACCAACTTTGGCTAAGGCCTGATGTAACTGACATGCCATTTTTCAAAGGCAAAAAACCTTTTAGAACTCTCTCACCCTGTCTTGGCAAGATAAGACAATCCTGCTTTTATCCATTTACGGATATTCTGTAATTCTGTCAGTGGTCGAGGTATGGGCTTTTTCTTTGCCCAAAGACCAGTTCTGTCAGGAAGAAGACACGCTCCAAGTGGAGTGCCTTTGGTGTTCAACGCTCTCGGGAGTAGAGCGGTGATGTCAGGAGTAATTGTGTCTCGTTAGTACAAAGCTCTAGATTAGATTAAAGGCCATTTTCTACAGCTCTTTGAAGAGGTTGAAGATCATACTATCTATACTAAATATGATCTCTATGCACCTAAATAACCTGATTAGCCTAAATGTAAGTATAACAAACATATATGACTATTGATTTATATCTATCTAACTTGAAGACTAAGAGAATAAACAACTGTGCAATGAGTGAGGACAATGACCTCTAAATGTAAACAATGTATATCATTACATAAATATCTTAATTAGAGGTAGAAATGTAAATATATGTATATATATCAATACAAATAGAGGTAGAAGCATACTCACATACAATATTCAATATATCAATGTACAAGGATCAATGCCAATACAATTTTCTAAAAACAATAACTTGCAAATACCAATATATTATTATCCCATCATCAATCAATCCCCCCTTTTTTATGATAAACACCCCTGAGCATATAAAATACTTCCCCCATCCCCTCATCCCTATATCAATTATAACCAACCCCTAAATGATGTCCCTAAACCTGAGGGCAAATTCTACTGGGAGAGGGGACGTCGCTCTCTAAAATTGCTTTGGTAGAGCATGAGACTCTTAATCTCAGGGTTGTGGGTTCGAGCCCCACGTTGGGCACCAGATGAAGGGGCGTGGTGTGATCGGTAATTAATGGTCCACCAGACTAGCTTACAAAAGATACAGCTTTAATAAAACAGAAGGAAAACTTACACCAGAATCCCAACCGTCAGGAATGCTGGAGCCAGGCGAGAGAGGGCAGGGAAGTGCACCCGCCAGGTTTATAGGTAAATTTTTGCCTTAGGGCAACACGCCCCATGGACAGAATGTGATTGGCTGAACTCCCCTATCATGTACCCACCTGTTGCATGGGATGTGGGTCTCTTCCCTCTCTACTCAGCTAACCAGAGCACCCCAAGAACACGCATCTTTTCAGTGCTCAGGTTGCCATCTGCTCTTTTCTCCCCCTTTCAGAAGGTGTCGACGGTGCAGGCACCTGGTCTGTAAGGCAAGGGAAACGATGGCCAAGGCGCACGCTCTGTCCTGGAATTGGGGGTGTCACCTTCTCACTCTAGTAATATTCTGAGCACAGGACTGCATTTTAAACTAAGATATTTAAAAGTTTAATTTAAAATTTAACTTTCAATTTAAATATAATTTAAGGTGAAAATTTAAAAAATGTTTTAGGTTGATGTGTATGGATGCTTTGCCTGCATGTACATATCTGTCATGGCTTGCTTTTTGTGTCCGCAGATGTCAGAAGGCAGCGTCAGATCCCCTGGGATGGTAGTTATGGACAGTTGTGAGCCGCTATCTGGGTGCTGGGAATGAACCCAGGTCCTTTGCCAGACAAGTGCTCCTGACAGCTGAGCCTTCTCTCCAGCCTCAATTTTTGCTTTTGTGTTTTGGATACGGGGTCTTGTGTAGTCCGCATTTGCTCAGACTCGCTACATAGGTAAGGCGATCCTGAGCGTTGAGCCTCCCGAGAGCTGGGATTACAGCAGTGTGCCCCTATCCCCAGTTTACACCATGCCTAAGATGGCGCCCAGGGCACCATGCATGCTAGGCAAACTCTTTACCTACTTGAGCCGCATCCTCAGCTCCAGTCTCAGAAGCTTAAGTTTTCAAGTTTGTCTGTGGCTGGGTGTAATGTCCATGCCTACAGTCCCAGCACTCTAGAGGCGGATACAGGAGGAGAGCCTGGCCTACACACGGTGAGACCCCAGCTCAGATAAAACCCAGTCGCACCGAGTCTGCTGTGATTAGAGAAGAGCCTGCGTGCTGACGTCACAGCTTCCGAAAGTTCTACACTTGAGGGAGGCAGCCCTTGGGTTTGTAGTGTGCCGACACGAGGAAGGTCGGCAGATCGATGGGGTCATTCTGAATAGGAGTAGGAATGAGGTGTAGGGAGGGTTCTGCCTGGTTAGGGAAGGATGAACCCCTTTGAAAGAAAATGATCTTGCAGCTTCTCATTGCCAGTTCTTTGTCGTTCACAGGCAGCTCTAGCCTTTCTAGCACATGGCAAAATAATCAATTTAGTTTTGCTGAAAATGGGGCTCAAAAATGATTCTGAAGAAAGCCAGACATCTCTTCTACGAGCTTTTCCTCTCTGGTCCCCGGAGACACTTGTTTACAGTGTCCAAGTCATTCTGCTGAAAAACATATAAGGTTGCTGTGAGAGATTATTTATATGACATTGTATAAATTCTGTGGTGACAAAAGTGGGCTCGTCTTCAAACATTTTGAGGTGGAAAACAAGGTTTTCCATAGTTCAGACTACCCTTAAACTTGCCAACCTTCCGAGTTTTATAATAACAGGCTTCTACCACTGAACCTGGCTAGTATTCAAATTTATTTATTTGTGTGTGTGTGTTTGTTTGTTTGTTTATGGGCAGAGTATCACTATGCAGTCCTGGTTGGCCTAGAACTAATGTGTAAGCCAGGCTAGCCTCTGACCCTCAGAGATCCGCCTGCCTCTGTTTCCCAAGTTTTGGGATTAAAGGCGTGCACCACTATACCCGGTTCAAGTTTATTTTTAAGCAACAGAACTCATCTGAGTCTGGTGTGTCAATCAGAACCCCAGCGAATAAAATGGACAAAGGGGAACCATTAGTATTAGAAGAGCCTGCTCTCCTTGGCTCCCTTCTTCTTCCTGTTGGCCCCGGGTACCAGAATCCCAAAGTGCTCTTGGAATACACTTGATCCTGACATCACAGGGATTCTAATACACAGCTCTACCCTAGGGGGCGATGCTTGCAAAACTAAAGAAGTCCCAAGTACCCCACTTCTGACAGCGACACAGGCAGCAACACTGAGTGGATCCGCCAGCTGCGGGAACCACCTTTCCAGGCACATAAAGATGAGCCTTTTGTAAACAGTTAATTTTGTGGTAATTCTACCTACCATGTGCTGTTCTGTACTAGAGAAAGGCTTCAGGTTCCAGAAGGCCCTAACTGGCATGCTCAAACTAGTTTGGGCTAGTTTAGGAGCGCTGTGGGTTTTCAGGAATTTCACAAGCAGAGAGTGCTTGAAACTCGCTGTGGTTTGGGGCATTTGCACCAAGAAACCAGCAGCAATGTTTTGCTTCCCCTTGAGAGTCACATGAACATTATGGACGGGGTCTATATGAAAGAATCCAGTACAGAAATTACTGCATTTATTGTATTTGTGCTAGTGTGTATGTGTGTGTGCATGTGTGTAAATGCACACACCACAGCACGTATGTGGAGGACAGAGGACCACTTGTATGAGTCAGTTCTCTCGTTCTAACATTTGGGTTCTGGGGATCAAGTTGGGGTTGTCAGGCTTGGTGTCAAGTACTTTTACCCTCTGAACCACCTTGCTGGCCCCACGTGAAAAACTTGTACATTCAAATGCATGGCTCCATATTTGTAAAGCAGCTGTTGTGTGGCTTGCTGGGAAAATTTCCTTGGAGCCCTTCATCAGGACGAAGATCATCAGGCTCACTCTGATTCCACGTTCCAGGTTCAGGGGTCTTCCTATTCCTGGCTTCTGCTCCCTGGTCACTTTAGAGTCTCATGGGCGATGTTGGGAAAACAAGGGCTAATCATGAGCCTAATCTCACAGAAGAGGCAGTGAGAGGCACAGACTTGCAATAACCCTTTTCCTTTTCTTGGCAGCCTGACTGAGAACCAGATTGGTAACAAAGGGGCCAAAGCTCTGGCCAGATCCCTCCTGGTCAACAGAAGTCTCACCACACTAGAGTAAGCTGGACACCACGGGCCCATGGATGAAGAGAATTTTATCTATCTCCCTGTCTGTGAAATGTCTTGAGCATTCCCCATCCTTTCTCCAGCTCCCAGAGCCCCATCTACAGCAGTGTTGAGCTCTGAGTTCCTGCCGACTACATGTCCTTCTGACTGGCGGGAAGGACAGCTGAGCAAGCAATGTCACTTCGACTTTTGTCTCTTGAACTTCATTTCAGAAAACACTTGATTTTTGACCCCGACCTAGATTTATTGTTGTCATTTCCACAGTTAGCTCACTAGACCACATCCTGTTCTCTTGCCCTCACCATGGCGGGCTGCTTTGGGGAACTCGTTTATTCATACATACGTACATTCATACACACACACACACACACACACACAATACACACATACATACGCATACATACACACATATGTACATACACATACATTAATACACACATGCACACACATAAATAACACATACATACACACATACATACATACACACATAATTTCTGCCATATATCAAACATAAAATCCCTAACCCCAGTTCCTTCCCTTTAAGAATTGTAGACTTAAAATGTCAGTTCTATTTTGATTCTTCTTCCCACCCCGGTCATCTTTTTTTCCTCTTGCTTCTACCAGCCTCCGGAGCAACACCATTGGACCCCAGGGAGCTAAGGCCCTGGCAGATGCTCTGAAGATAAACCGAACTCTAACCTCTCTAAGGTATGTGGCTCCACTCCTGACCTCACGAGAGGGCCCAGAAAACTAAACCTTGGCTACAGGAGAGACTGTGGAGTGGGAGAGGATTTAAAATGGAGACTTTGGGATGCCAGCAAGCTTCAAGTTCCAGATGGCCCTAACTCTGTGTGCTTCTGTAAGCCCCAAGGTTTCTCAGGACAATAAACAGCCTGCCTTCCAGAAGATGACAATGCTTGGGTACGGCTTGCTGTGTCCCTTTTAGGAGCCTGTGGTTGTGTCCATGTAGTTGAGGGTGTACTCTTGTTCTGTTCTGGTTTTCTACTTTTATTATTCAAATGAAATTTTTGTTGTTATTGTTTTGAAACAGGGTCTGGCTATGTAGGTGTCTGTGAGTCCAAGGCCTGTGGTCTACAAGGACTTTGTAGACCAGACTGGCCTTGAACTCACAAAGATCCACCTGTCTCTACCTCTTAAGTGTTGGGATTAAAGATATGCACCACTATTGCCTGGTACCAGGTGAAATTTAATGATATAAAATTTATCATTTTGAAGCATATAGTTCTTTGGCATTTATTTTATTTTCTTTTTGAGATAGGGTTTCTCTGTGTATCCCTGGCTGTCCTGAAACTCGCTCTGTAGACCAGGCTGGCCTTGAACTCAGAGATCCACCTGCCTCTGCCTTCTGAATCCAGCGAATGAAAGGCAAGCGCCACCGCAGCCTAGCGTCATTGGCATTTTGTACACTCACAATGTTGTGCAGCCCCCACCTCTGTCAAAATGTTTTCAAAATACTCTTGACCATTAGCATTTGCTTATTCCTTTTCTCTGAACATTTCATATAAATGTAACTATACAATAAGAACTTTGGGCCCTGTAGCAGTGGTGCACACCTTTAATCCCAGCACTCAGGAGGCAGAGGCAGGTGGATCTCTGTGAGTTTGAGGCCAGCCTGGTCTTCAAGAGCGAGTTCCAGGACAGGATACAAAGCTACAGAGAAACCCTGTCTCGAAAAACCACGCACACGCGCACACACACACACACACACACACACACACACACACACACACACACATGAACTTTCTCTACCAGCATGTTTTCAAGGTTCATCCATACTACAGCATATTGTTTTCTTGCATTTAGTAGCTGAATAGTATTCCACTGTATGGGTGGAGAAGTCTGCTTATACATCCATGCACAGACTGTCCATGCATTCGTGCATTCCGTGTACTTCTATCTTTTAGCTATTATGCTGTCTTTTAGCTTAATGCTGCTAGCAACATTTGTGTAAAAGTATTCAAGTACCTGTCTTTAATTACTTGGGGAAAATACTTAGAAATGCCAAGTCTACACTGAGAACTGCCAGACTGTCTTCCACGGAGACTGGGCTATTTACATTGTCATCAGCAATGTCAGGCTTCCAGGTTCTCCACATTTTCATCATTATTTGGGCACTGTGGCTCTTGATTGTGACGGGGACTAATGATAACCTCATTTTAATTGATGTAGACACCTTGTTCCTAGTTGGTGGGCGGCTACTTAGAAACTCAATACAGGAGGGCTAAGTCTTTCCTGGGTGATGAACCATGAGGAGGGCACATAATCGTTTGCAAATCATCTCATGGACGTCAGTTGATTCCTGTCTTGGGCCTCTGAGGCAGGCGTCCCCACTGCAGAGAGAGTCCAGGCCACTGGTGACACACCTCTTCTTACCTCTGTAGCCTCCAAAGCAACGTGATCAGGGATGATGGTGTCATGTGCATGGCGGAGGCCCTGCTCTCCAACCAGACCCTCTCCATACTACAGTGAGTGACAAAGTCTTGCTTCTCCTCTCTCCTCCTGAGCCTCTGCCCTGCCCCTGACAGAGAGAAAGGAGGAGGTCCTAAGGCTGTCTGCTCCACCTGTTTCTTCAGAGAAAATTCTTCTTCACAGAATTACTGAAAATAAAAACTCTTGCCAGCCCAGGAAATCATGTCCACAGCCACGGGAAAAGGACACTTCACTCCTCTCTTAATAAGCACTGCCTGTAATCGGTCAGCGAGGCTGCAAAGACAGAGGTCCTGCCCTTCCCTGCAGCCCAGCAGAGGCAACCAGTCCATGCATGTCCCCAAGGTCAATGACTATTTGTTGTCAAGCGTGAGGAGCTGGCAGCACCGTTTTCCAGCAGCGGATCCTGAGCGTGCCAGACAGGGAGAGAGGCCACTGTGCTCCTGAGCTGCTCTGCCCGGAGGAAACCGCTCCTACCTTTATGATGCTCTGATGTGGCACACTTGGAGCTGTGCACCCAGGCTAATTCCCACAGTGTCAGGGGGACAGGAGCACTTCCTTGTTTGATGTTTGTCTTGGAAAAGAAGGCCCCAAGACCCTTAGAAAGACCCCAGGAGGCCTGGTGTGGTGGCAAATGTCTTTAATCCCAGCACTTAGGAGGCAGAGGCAGGCAGATCTCTGGGAGTTTGGGGCCAGCCCGAGCTACATAAAGAGATCCTGTCTCAAAAATCAAACCAAACACACTCCTGGGCTGTGAAGCTAGAGACAGCTGACTGAGCATGCAAGCCGATAGAGTATGGATTTGCAACCTATAGTTTCCCAAGAAAACAGTCTACAAAGAGGGAGATGACTTTCTCCTTTAAAAAAAAAAAAAACAAAAAAAAACAAAAACGGTGTCTGGACATGTACAGTATAGGTACATTTTTTATGTTTTATTTCTTTCTGTGTGTGTGCGCACGCGCACACACATACACACATACATTCTATGGCACAAGTATGGAGGTAGAAGACAGCCTGCAGGAGTCATTTTCCTCTTCCCATCATGTGGGTCCTAGGGACTGAATTCTGGTCTAGGTTTGGTGGCAAGCACCTTTACCTGCTGAGCCATCCGTAGCCCCCGTGTCTTTCCTTTATATGGAGGGTGTTTTACACGGGTGAGGTCCTTCCCCATCTGTCCTCCTATACCTCTTCCCAGGTTTCTGCAGGTGGGAGGCGGCGTGCTGGTCCAGATGTATACTTTGCTAGCAGCAGACTTGAGTGCGGAAGTCTCGGGGACAGGAGGCTGTTAAGCCCATCAGCCTCCATTCCTGGCTGCCCTTTCCCCTTAATTCTCCCAGCTAGATCCTTTGTGAGACCCCTTTCCACTGCCCTGTGAACGGAGATGGCACCCTATCTGTCCCTGACCTCTCACCCAAAACTCAGACTGGCGTTGACCTGGGAGTGATTGTGGCTGGCTTTGCTGATGGGTCCCCTCTTGTCTCCCACAGGCTACAGAAGAACCTAATTGGGCCCAAAGGAGCCCAGCAGATGGCAGATGCCCTGAAGCAGAACAAGAGTCTAAAGGAACTCATGTGAGAAAGGCCGAAGGGCCAAACTGGTGTTCTCTGTGCCAAGCAGAAGGCCAGCGCACACTGCATATTGTGAACAGGGGAATGGATGACAGGATAGATGGATGGATGGAGGGAGGAGGCGATGTATGTGTGGATGGTCGTTGGATGAACAGGAGGATGAGTGGATGGATTGATGATGAAATGGTTGGAGAGAGGGATATAGAGGAGATTTAGATAAACTGATGTGTGGGCCAATGCAGGTTAGCTTGTTTGGAAGCACAAAACACTGGACAAGGAGAATCGAAACCCAGACTCCCAGAACTGGATGAGCCCTAAGCAGCATGGGCTTGCTTACATTACTGTCTCCCTGCTCTCAGGAGGAAACATCATTTCTTGGCCATCTTCATATAAAGTCCCACAAACACCTCGAGGGTTTGACCCTTACTTCTTTCCGAAGAGCTAAGGAAGATGAGGGTCACCTTCGGAGACTAGGATAAGCACAGCTGCGACCGAACGGACTGCACTGGACACTCCTGAGACAGAGGGAGTCTCCGAGCTCTGACCCCAGACCCAGCCCATCACCATTGTCTCTTGCAGGTTTTCCAGCAATACCATTGGAGATGGAGGTGCCATGGCCCTGGCTGAGGCCCTGAAGGTGAACCAGAGCCTGGAGAACCTGGAGTGAGTCTGCCTGAGAATCCTCCATGGATGATACTCTTGCCAGAACCCATTTCCATGAGAGCCAACCCACTCCAGCAACCCCTGCCCCTCCACCCACCTTTTGCCCTCTTCCATCTACCAGCTCCACTTCTCAGTGCTTTTCAGAATGACAAGGTCTACGTGACTTGTCATAAGCAAGCCCCCGGGGCTGCAGGAAAGGCTTGGTAGGTTGGGCAGGGGCGGGCTGGATGCTGCTGCCACATTAGGATGGTTTTGCTGCATCGCTTTCTCTGGAGCAGGGTAACAGTCACTGCCTTGAGGACATATGTAGTCCCCATGTCAGCTTAAGCTTCAGGGCTTATGCTAAACCACACTGGCTTTACCCAGCAGGAGCTAGATAGTGGAGTGACTGGCGAGGGAAGAGGGATGAGAAGAGCAATTCCCAGGTCCCCAACTCCTTGTTGAACCCATTGGGTATGGCTCCAGGTCCTGGGACAGCCACATCAACACTGTCTTGTCTTTTATTGCAGTCTTCAGAGCAATGCCATCAGTAACACTGGAGTGGCAGTGCTGATGCGAGCCCTCCGTGTTAACCAGACACTCTCTAGTCTCAAGTAAGTCCTGCCCCAAACCCCCCAACCGGGATGTTGCCCCTTTGACCAGTGAGGATGCAGGGCCTCTGGGACTTGGAAAGAAAGGCTGGGACAGAAAAAACTGCTGTAGAAAACATTGTAGTTGGTATGGACTTGGTTCTAGAACGTAGCACCCCGCCCCTTCACCTACTTTGTGAGTGTGGCCCCCAGTGGATAAGCCCCTCTATGTACAGCCCTTCAGGTGCCACTTGCCCATCATAACCCAGATCTTGTCCCCTTCTTCTTATGCATTCCTGCACTGCTGTGGTCCCGAGCGGGGCACGGATTAGAGCCCTAGCTGGCAGCAACAGGTTCCTCCACATTTCAGCCCAGGAGGCCCAGCCCCTGCCTGTGGTTTCTTGGGGTTTGGAAAGCCTAGACACCTGGGCTTACTTGGTCAGAAGCCTTGCTTGCCTGACTGGATGTTCAGAGTCTCATTTCTCCTCAGCCTACGAGAAAACTCCATCAGTCCAGAGGGAGCCAGGGCCCTTGCTCAAGCCCTCTGTATGAACAACACTCTGAAGCACTTGGAGTACGTAATGATTGGGTCGGGGCGGGGGGCGTGGAGGTCAAAGGGAGGCTGTGCTTCCTTACCTACTCAGACACCAGGGTTGGTGGCACCACTGTAATGGGTTAGACCCTGGACATCCTCACAGTTCACAAGGCTGGACTAGAACTCCATTTGGGAAGGGGCAGCCTGGAGACCTGGTATCACTGGTAACCCTGACACATGAACTCTGTAGCCTTACACCTAGAGATGGATAAGCACATGGCAGAGGACCTGAAAGAGTTGGCACGGGGCCATGCCAATAGGTAGTAAATCCTGTTCATAGTGCTGTGTGTCCTGGTTGCATGACCTGTAGCCGCTCACTGAGTTTAACATGGGATGTGCTCTAGTATGCCTGGCACACCAGAGTTCTCCATAAGCACGAGCCACACAAGCCTAACACCAGTGCTGACAGTGTGCCCCATTGGGAGTGTGGGGAATGATTGGGATCCCCTCGTGACCAGGATGGTGGGGCGGTTTACAGTGGCTTCTACTTGCTTCTGTTCCCTTTTTCCCAGTCTGACAGCCAACCTGCTCCATGACCAAGGTGCCCAGGCCATTGCAGTAGCAGTAGGAGAAAACCGCTCCCTCACTCACCTTCAGTAAGTCTACTGTCCCCACCCTTCCGCAATCCCCATTCCCCCAGCTGCAGGGCTACCCACAAACCCACTGTGGCAGATGGTTCCATGCCCAAGGCCTTCCTAGGCTACCTGCCTCCAGCAGGCATGCCCCATCCTCAGTTTGGATTCCTGAGGTTATCCTCAGATAGAACTAGATTATGAGGCAAGCGTCAAGGCTGTGACTTGGGGTGACCTATGCTTTATGGAGAATATTTGAGCTTGTTCCCATGGCTACCACTGGTAAAACACCGGCCCTCTGGGGACTTTAGGAATCCCCATGCCCTATCCCGCATAGACTCACCCAGTCACCAGCCCTTCCTGGATGCCTTAAGGCCTCCTCCTCCATTCTTGGGCCATATGGTCACATGTCTGTGTATTTTCCAGCCTGCAGTGGAACTTCATCCAGGCTGGTGCAGCCAGGGCCCTGGGACAAGCACTTCAGCTGAACAGGACTCTGACAACCTTAGAGTAAGTGTGGCCTATGGGGATGAGGGGTAGTCTCCAGGCACAGGGCTGGTCTGAGGACCCTCAACAAGTCTTCTCTGCCATGAGACCACAGACTTATTTCAACCTTCACTCACCCGCAGTGTGTGTGTATGTAATAGCTTTACTAATATAATCCACACACCATAAAAACCAGTTGTCAACCATCACAACCACCAGTTTTAGACCATCCCCCACCCCTGAGATGCTGTGTGCTGTAGCTGCTTTCCAGCCTCACTTCCATCCTTGAAAAGCACCAACCAACCACTCTGGACATTTGACATAAGTAAACTCATGTGGTCTTTCATGATCTATATCTTGTATGTGTACATACATGCCAAGGGTTGAAACAAGGGCTCCGAAAATCTTTCTTTTTTTATTGATTTTTATTAAGCTCTACATTTTTCTCTGCTCCCCTCCCTGCCTCTCCCCTCCCCCCTTCAATCCTCCCCTAGGGTTCCCATGCTCCCAATTTACTCAGGAGATCTTGTCTTTTTCTACTTTCTACTTCCCATGTAGATTAGATCTATGTAAGTCTCTTAGTGTCCTCATTGTTGACTAAGTTCTCTGGGATTGTGTTTGTAGGCTGGCTTTCTTTGCTTTATGTTTAAAAACCACCTATGAGTGAGTACATGTGATAATTGCCTTTCTATGTCTGGGTTACCTCACTCAAAATAATGTTTTCTAGCTCCATCCATTTTCCTGCAAAATTCAAAATGTTGTTATTTATTTATTTATTTTGCTGTGTAGTACTCCATTGTGTAAGTGTACCACATTTTCTTTATTCATTCTTCAGTCAAGGGGCATTTAAGTTGTTTCCAGGTTCTGGCTATGACAAACAAAGCTGCTATGAACATAGTTGAACACATGTCCTTGTGGCACAATTGAGCATCCTTTGGATATATACCCAAAAGTGGTATTACTGGGTCTTGAGGAAGGTTGCTTTCTAATTTTCTGAGAAATCACCACACTGACATCCAAAGGGGTTGTACCAGCTTGCATTCCCACCAGCAATGCAAAAGTGTTGCCTTTTCTCCACAACCTCTCCAGCATAAGTTGTCATCAGTGTTTTTGATCTTGGCCATTCATATAGGTGTAAGATGGAATCTCAGAGTTGGTTTGATTTGCATTTCTCTGATGACTAAGGATGTTGAACATTTCCTTAAGAGTCTTTCAGCCATTTTAGATTCTTCTGTTGAGAGTTCTCTGTTTAGGTCTGTACTCCATTTTTTTTTATTGGATTATGTGATCTTTTGGTGTCCAATTTCTTGAGTTCTTTGTCTATTTTGAAGATCAGACCTCTGTCTGATGTGGGGTTAGTGAAGATCTTTTCCCATTCTGTAGGCTGTTGTTTTGTCTTGTTGACCGTCTCCTTTGCTTTACAGAAGCTTTTCGGTTTCAGGAGGTCCCATTTATTGTTTCTCTCAGTATCTGTGCTGCTGGGGTTATATATAGGAAGTGGTTCCCTGTGCCAATGCGTTCAAGTGTACTTCCCACTTTCTCTTCTATAAGGTTCAGTGTGGCTGGCTTTATGTTGAGGTCTTTGATCCATTTGGACTTGAATTTTGTGTATGGTGATAGATATGGGTCTATTTTCATTTTTCTACATGTTGATATCCAGTTATGCCAGCTCCAGTTGTTAAATATGCTTTCTTTTTTCCATTTGATATTTTTTGCTTCTTTGTTAAAAATCAGGTGTTCGAAGATGTGTGGATTGATATTCGGGTGTTCTATTCACTTCCATTGATTCTCTTGTCTGATTTTATGCCAACACCAGGCTGTTTTCAGTACTGTAGCTCTGAAATAGAGTTTGAAGTCAGGGATTGTGATGCCTCCAAAAGTTCTTTTATTATACAGGATTATTTTGGCTATCCTGGGTTTTTTGCTTTTCCATATGAAACTGAGTACCATTCTTTCAAGGTCTTTGAAGAATTTTGCTGGGCAGGCCTCAAAAATCTTCAGCACATGCTCTACCACAGAGCTACACTCTCAGCAGAACAATATTTTTCAGGCTGATCTATTTTGTAGCATGTTGGTACTTTTGTTTTGTTTTGTTTTTTGAGAAGTGTGTGCATGCGTGTGTGTGTGTGTGTGTGTGTGTGTGTGTGTGTGTATGAACTTGTCATGGCATATGTGTGGAGGTCAGAGGAAAACTTTCAAAAGCTGGTTCTCTCCTTCCACTCTGAGTTCCAAGGGGCAGACTCAGGTCACTGGGGTTAATAACAAGCACTTTAACCCGCTGAGCTCTTAACTAGCCCCCACCCTTTTTTAAATTTTTGTATGTGTGCACATATGTAGTGCATGGACTAGTGTGTGTGGGTGCACACGTACCAGGGCGTACACATGGAGGAAGTGGACAGCCCCAGCTGCTGGTCCTTGCGCTCTTCCCTTATCTTGCTGCGTCTGCCAGGCAATGGGCTGTAAACTTTCAGGGTTTCTCATGTTTACATCCAGTTTCCCTGTAGCAGAGCTGTGGTTGCAGATGTGTTATTGCAGCCAACATTAGGGGGCACTGACTCAGCTCCTTCTGCTTATGAGAGAAGCACTTAGGCCACGGAGCCGGCTCCCCAGCTTGGAGCTCAGACTTCTGAGCCCGCTTTGCAACACACTCTGGTTTCCTCTCTGTCTGTCCATCTGTCACTCTGTCCATCAGTCCGTCAGTTCATCACCTCACTAGCTGCACTTCTCCTCTTTCCTGTTCTACTCCTAGACACTGCTGCTCCTCAGGGCTCTACCCTTGGGCCTCTTCCCCTGAATAAACTTTTTCTCGGAGCTCTCTTCCTTTCCCAGGACTCTAATAACTCCTGATAACTCTTGCATCACTACCTAGCGTGGTTTGAATGAGAACAGCCCCTGTAGGCTCATAAATTTGAATATTTGGTGGCCAGTTGGTGAATTCCACGTGAAGGATTAGGAGGTGCGGCTTTGTTGGAGGTTGTCACTGGGGGTGAGCTTTGAGGTTTCCAGTGTGTTCTCCCCTCCTTATGCCTGTGGATCCAGATGTAAGCTCTCAGCTACCGTACCGGTACCATGTCTGCCTGCTGCTGTGCTCCCCCCTGTGATGGTCATGGACTCTAACCCTCTGAAACTGTAAGCCCCAAATAAACTCTTCTCTAAGTTGCCTTGGTCAAGGCGTCTTATGACAGCAACAGATGCTAACCCAGGTGTCTCTTGAACTCCAGTCTGTGAATCCACACCGGTTACCTTGCACCCTCGGTGCCTCACAGGAATTACAAGTTGCTGCATTTTCTTGCCCACAAGACTGCTTCTTAGTTCTCCCATCTGAGCCTTGGACCAAGCAGTTGTGCAGGATGGAGGCACCATGGCCTGGTGACCCTCCTCTCCACTGTCCATCCCACACTGTTTCTGTGAGTGCCACTATCCAGGCCACAGCTCCACTCACCTCCATCCACATCGAGACCATGTCCCCAAACTGCGGGCTAGAGGCCATTCCACAACATCCGCCAGTCTTCATTATGGGTGAGCTCCTTAGACGACTGTGCCTGCAAGTGTAACCCCAAAGCCTGAACTCCGAGGTCCCATGGGTCTGCTCCCTCACACTTCCAAGCCCCAGCGCTCTCTCTCCATGACCTCAGCAGTTGCCCAGGTCTCTGGATGTACCCGCCTTCTTTGTCTCCCATTCCCTGATCCTGGCCTCGTTTATTTCTTCTGGGTACCACACTGGAGTGGAGGCTTTGTTGGTCTTCCCTGCACCTTAGACCTGGTCCTAGCTGAGTCTGAGAGGGCATTAATAAGTTACACATCTATTGTCATGATAAAACACTATGTCCAAAAGCAGACTTGAGGAGGAAGGGTTTATTTCACCTTGCAGCTTGTAAGCCCATCACTGAGGAAGCCAGGGCAGGAACTGGGGCAGGGACCACTGAGGAGTGTTGGTTACTGGCTTGCTCTTCCTGGCTTACTTAGCTTCTTTTTTTACACACCTCAGGACTACCTATCCAGGCTTAGCACCACCTCCTACTTCAGTCATTCAATCATCAAAACATAAAATGGCTTGCCTATGACCTATTCTTATTTACTTATAGTTTGGTTTTTGAGACAGGGTTTCTCTGTGTAACAGCCCTAGCTATCCTGGAACTTGCTTTGTAAACCAGGCTAGCCTCAACCTTACAGAGATGCTTACAGGCTATTCTTATGGAGGCATTTTCTCAATCATCTTGACAAAAAGCTAGCCCACAAGGCAGAACTGTGTCTGCTGCTTGGCGTCCTTAACGCATGGGTCAATGATCTTCACTGGAGTAACGAACGCAAATGCTTCCTTACACATGGCGATGTCCATTTGTCCTAAACTCATTTACTGTCCTGGAACTTGCTCTCTGGATGTTTTGTAGGAGAAAACATCCAGAAATCCTAGCCAGCACAAATGGTGCAGAGATTAGGACTTCAGGCTAATCTCCCACTGGTTTTCAAAAGCATACCTTTTGGTCTCAAGCCATGTTGACAGTAATTCCCATGTGCCCTTTCTTGTTTGCCTTTGACACTTTGTTTGGATTCACACAGACTCCCAGATTTCTCTGTGCATTAATACGAGGCCAAGGGCACCATGGTTTCCCAGAAGGTGACTGAGACTGGGTGTGTTGAGTGTAAAGGGCCTAAACCCCACAGGCCTTGGTCAGAGTGTTGGCCTGAGCCCCTTGTGTACCAATAGGTTACATTGTGTTCAGCTTACAGGAGAATGCCATAGGGGATGACGGAGCTTCTGCAGTGGCCGGGGCCCTGAAGGTGAACGCGACCCTCACTGCTCTCTAGTAAGTCCCCTGGGTGTGGGAGCCCAGCAGATCAACCCCCCCCCCCAGCACCCCATGTCACACAGCCACCTCGGTTTATCCATCTGGGAAACTTTTCATATTAGAAAGTGACTGGGCACAAGCATCCAGGAAGGACCAAAGGCACAGACAGCATTCTCCCCAGGCCTCCTGGAAGGCCACCTCTACCCCCATCCTGTGTCTAGCTCTTGTTCCTAGGTGTTGGACTATAGGTGGGAGACGCAGTGCACTTGGAAGAATCATAGGAAAACAATCCTTAGTGCTATTTCTCAACGTTTAGCCGTAGCTAAGGGGTATGGAGTGTGGAGGGAAGCCTGGCCCACGGCAGAGGGCAGGAGCACAGGGGCTGATTACCCACACTGACCGCACTCCCTCTTATAGCCTGCAGGTGGCCTCCATTGGCACCCAAGGGGCCCAGGCACTTGGGGAGGCCCTGGCTGTGAACAGAACCTTGGAGATTCTCGAGTGAGTATTCTGGTTTCTGTTGACAGACTTTTGCTGAAAGAAATCAAACTACAGATTCAAAAGCATGAAGACAAACATCTATGCACATGATTGTCATGACTGTTTCCGGTCATATGCTCCATCTTCCCCGTTCCCACTTCGTCTTTCCCTGAAGTCACTATGGCACTATGCTCTGGGTTGGGCCTGCCCCAGATAAACACAACCAAAGGCTGTATTTAATAGGATCCCCCCACACATCATAGAAACCAGTAGCCACCTCCTGGGGTGGGGCTGGGGCTCAAGCTCTATGAGGCTCTCAGCATACCCATGTCTTCCCTACTCCCCAGGATCCCTGTAACCACGGTATACTGTAGACCTCTGGATGGAGAGTTACCTCTCCCATCTCAGTCCAGGTTTTCCTTCTCTGGGGTAGAAAAAAAGAACAGGCTTCCTTCCGTAAGTGCTTAGGAAGAAGCCGCTCCCAACTCCTGTGACTGGACTGTCCAGACAAGCCCACACCCGTCTGGAGGGACGGCAGTGTCACCACCCAGCCTGTCCCTGCACCTTAGGCTTCTTGCTTGCCCTGACAGCTTACGAGGAAATGACATCGGGGTAGCTGGTGCCAAGGCTTTGGCAAATGCTTTGAAGTTAAACTCCAGTCTCCGGAGACTCAAGTAAGTGATCATGTGGCCCTCGCGCAACCCAGAGTAGCCAACTTCTGCCAGCACTTCTGGGAGGAAGCACAATTTCCTTTGGTTGCTTCCTTCTGGATGTTAAACGATCATACTGTCCTGACCATTGCTGTCCACGTCCACTGAAGTTAGCTTTGTGCATTCTCCTTTACTGAAAATCCGCATTCATGGCCTTGGGCAGAATACCTGGCTACAGCTGCTATGGTGCCTGTGGACAATCAGCCCAGAATTACTTATTTCATCCACATCTCAACAAGGCAGTGTTGCCTCCTTACGTGTCTTCTGTCCTGATGGCTCACTACGGTGTCTCCATTTCCTCTCTGCCTAGTCTCCAGGAGAACTCACTGGGGATGGATGGGGCCATATACATTGCTGCTGCGTTGTCTGAGAACCGTGGTCTGCGTCATATTAAGTGAGTACACACAGTGACATCCACCTTCCCAGCTACTTCTGCTGAGCCTCGGAACTGCTCCCAGAGCAGGTTCTGCCTTTTGCCCACTTCTGGAAGCTAGATGATACGAAGACACTCTAGCAACTCCACAGGGAAACTAGGTGTACTAGGGAACATGCCAGAGTGGTGTGTGTAAGAGGGACCCTACACACACTAGAAGGGCAAGGGCTGAATTTATTAGAGCAATGATCGCTGTAGTAAAGACAACTTGCAGGTGCTCAATTCTGCCCTAACTCTTCTGCTCTAGTCTCCAGGGAAATCCCATTGGGGAATCTGGTGCCAGGATGATCTCAGAGGCTACCAAGACATGTGTGGTGGAAATGTAAGGAAATCAGGTTCCTAGGGAACCACACAGAGATTCAGCTGGAAGCTTCAGATCAGAGTGACCTCGATTTCTGCACGGTTTCCTGGAATCTGAATGCCGCTGAGCCAGTTCTAAAGCTGGTTTCCTGGACAGGGGAAGGAAGGGCACTTCGGCAGAGGCCACAGGCATCTTTCCTTCCCAGGGTCAGGCAAAGGGAAGATGGACACTCTGTGACAGCATAGGGAAGGGAAGGAGCTGCTGCTAAGGGGCACCCAGGGATAAAATCTCAAAGCTCCACAAAGCAGGAAGCTGGTGCAGACTTATTCATATCCTGGGTCTTCAGAGTCCCAACTTAAACAACAACAACAACAACAAAACCAAATGTGTTTCTGCCCTCGTGTGCTCCCGTGGCTAACATCACCATCTTGAAGGTTGCAGCCTTCAAGCCCATTAAGCACATTAGCTTGGCGAAGGTGAGAATATGTCCATTATTTTTCTTTTCTTAAGAAAAGAAAAAAGTTTTGGGGTGTGACCCTTATATACATACGGAGAAAATATGAGAAATTTGTGAAGATCAACCAAAGGTTAATTCTAAGGTTCTGAAGTCAGAGAGAAGTCTCCAAAGGTTCTGCATTCTCCTGTAAGATCTCTCAGACATCTAGAATGGTCTGCCATATTTGTAGTCCAGCATACTGGTATTCCATTGCAAATTAAGTGTTGATATCTTGATGTCATTATCCTGTATTTAGGCATCCAAAACCTCTACAGTGGCTATCGCTTACCCTTGGAGACAAATAAGCTGTGTTTCCATGTGGCAAATTTCCTCCATTGTCTGAGTGAAACAGGAAAACCTAAATGAACTCACAGCTCTCAACCAAGCCACTAAGGTAAATGCTTATAAAGACCATAAAGTGAGTCCAGGCAGTGGTGGCGCCCACCTAGAATCCCAGCACTTGGGAGGCAGAGGCAGGTGGAACTCTGTGAGTTCAAGACCAGTTTATAGAGCAGGGTCCAGGACACCCAGAGCTACATAACAAGACCCTGTCTTGGAAAAAGACAAAATCCAAACACAAGTATCCAAAAGACAGACATGGAAGCACACACGTGTAATTCTAGTACTTGAGAGGCCGAGAAAGGATCATGAATTTGAGGATACCTTAACTTACATAGTGAGATTCTCAAAACAAAACCAAACATTTAAAAATTAGTATTCGGGAGAGTTATCATGGAGGCTGACAGGAGAGGGGTTCCCTGGTTTTACAAGAACAGAGGCACCTGAGCAAGTGGCACGGCAAACACCACTGTGACAAGGATGACGAAACTCAAGCCAGCATGGCGCGCACGCTCCTGTGATCCCCGCACCTGGTGGAGGCAGGAGGATCAGGAGCTCAAGGCTGTCTTTGGTACTGGAGTTCAGGACCAGTTTCTGCTGCATGAGATCCTGTCTCAAGAAAAACAAAAGAAAATAAAGTGACTCACTATAACCTCACAGTCATGGGACAAATGAACATCATGCCTGGCTCAAGATGCAGCACCAACAGAACATTTCTGCCAAAACTGTAGAGGTATAACCACACAAACTCCAAATGGAAGGACTTTCTACCAAGCTGGTCTGACTTCCAAAAGATGTTACAATGGTCTGGAGATGGTTCTAAATTAAACAAATGAAAGGGGTTTAGCAGTGAAGTACAAGGTCCTGGATTGGCTCGAGGTTGGAGCAAACACATAATCTTAAAGAATACTTGGAAACTGAAGCTGCATTCATTTTGGTTTTGCAGAGTATTGTTTCTGGGTATAGAATGCTATTTTCTTTCTTTTGTCACTTTTACGATGTGAGAGGCTGTCCCAGCTCTCAGACTGGGGCTATATCCCCCCCTCAGTGGAGTAGGTCCTGAGTCCCATCCCCCACACTGCCAACAACAACGTTGCTTTAGGCCTGTGGCTTATGTTGGAGCTCTGCAGCCAGGAAGATTTCAGTCCGTCAGTAGACAAATGCTGGGAAAGGGGTAACCTGTCGAAGCCTAGTATGGAAGTCTGAAGGCTGTGAGGGCAGAGGGTGCTTTCCAATGATAATAGAGCCAGACTCACTAGAACTAGAAGGTCCCCTTCCAAAAGTTTTGTCCAGACCCCACTATCGAGACTTCACAGCTCTCTGGCCAGTGAAGAGAAGGGTTCACAAGGTCTAGCTGCATTACCACAAAGCAAGCCAAAATGTGAGTCCGGAACCAAGACAGAGCACTAAGCAGAACAGTAGTTTGATTTTCCTCCTATTGTTTAACTGGACAATTTCTGGTGCTGTCTTCTGCAGCTTCTGCAAAACGCCCTCTGCTGCTGAGACACGCCCTCTACTGCTGAGACACGCCCTCTGCTGCTGAGGCACGCCCTCTGCTGTTGAGCGCACCTTGCTATTCTTTTTCTTTTTTTTACTTTTATTCTTTTTTTAAAATCGATTTTATTAGCTTTTTTTTAATTTAAAAAATATCAATCCAAGTTCCTACTCCCTCCCCTCCTCCTTTTCCCTCCACACACCCCCATACCTCACCCTCCTCCAATTCTGAGAGGGCAAAGCCCTGTGGAAGGTCCAAGGCCCTCCCCACTATATCTAGGCTGAGCAAGATATACATCCAAAGAGAATAGGATCCCAAAAGCTAGTACATGCAGCAGAGACAATTCCCAGTGCCACTGCCAGTGGCCCCTCAGTCTGCCCCAATTGTCAACCACATTCAGAGGGACTAGTTTGGTCCTATGTTTGTTCCTTCCCAGTCCCGCTGGAGTTGGTTAGCTCAGGTAAACTGTTTCAGTGGATAAACCCCTCATGATCTTGACCTCTTTGCTCATATTCTCATTCCTTCTACTCTTCAGCTGGATCTTGGGAGCTCAGACTCTCAGGCAGTAGGTTTCCATCTGTTTCCATCTGTTGTTGAATGAAGGTTCTATGGTGATATTTAAGATAATCATTAATCTGAATACAGGACAATGTCAGTTCGGACCCCTTCTCCACTATTGCCTAGGGTCTTATTGCCATCCTTGTGGATTCCTGAGAATTTCTCTACAGCCAGGCTTCTTGCCAACCCCACAATGGCTCCCCCAATCAAGGTATCTCTCTCGTTGCTCTCATATCTGTCCCACCTCCATCTCAACCGTCCCATTCCCTCAAGTTCTCTTTAACCCTCCCCTTCTTCCCACCTCTTCCCCCTCTCCTCCCCCTTCTATCTCTTCCCTGCTCCCATGCTTAAAATCCTGTAAGGCAACCCTGTATGTCTCCAACCCCCAGGTGGGTCCATATATGTTTTTCTTTAGGTTCATCTTATTACTTAGTTTCTCTAGAATCATGAACTATAGGCTCAATGTTCTTTGTTTATAGCTAGTATCCACTTATGAGTGAGTACATACCATATTCATCTTTTTGTGTCTGGGCTACCTCACTCAGAATAGTGTTTTCTAATTCCATCCATTTGCATGCAAAATTCAAGATGTCTTTTTTTTTTTTTAAATACCGCTGAGTAGTACTCTGTGTAAATGTGCCACACTTTCTTTACCCATTCTTCAGTTGAGGGACATCTAGGTTGTTTCCAGGTTCTGGCTATTACAAATAATGCTGCTATAAACATAGTTGAACGAATGCTTTTGTAGTATGATTGAGCATCTTTTGGGTATATTCCCAAGAGTGGTATTGCTGGATCCTGAGGTAGGTTGATTCCAAATTTTCTGGAAAACCGCCATACTGATTTCCAAAGTGGTTGTACAAGTTTGCAATCCCACCAGCAATGGATAAGTGTTCTCCTTACTTACTTCACATCCTCTCCAGCATAATCTATCATTAGTGTTTTTGATCTTAGCCATTCTGACAGGTGTAAGATGGTATCTCAGAGTTGTTTTGATTTGCATTCCCTGATAGCTAAGGAAGTTGAACATTTCCTTAAGTATCTTTTGGCCGTTTGAAATTCTTCTGTTGAGAATTCTCTGTTTAGTTCAGAACCCCATTTTTTAATTGAGTTATTTAGAATTTTACAGTGTAATTTCTTGAGTTCTTTATATATTTTGGAGATCAGTCCTTTGTCTGATGTGGGGTTGGTGAAGATCTTTTCCCATTCAGTAGGCTGCCTTTTTGTCTTATTGACCGTGTCCTTTGCTTTACAGAAACTTCTCAGTTTCAGGAGGTCCCATTTATTTATCGTTGCTCTTAGTGTTTGTGTTACTGGGGTTATACTTAGGAAGTGGTCTCCTGTGCCCATGTGTTGTAGACTACTTCCCACTTTCTCTTCTATCAGGTTCAGTATGGTCAGACTTATATTGAGGTTTTTAATCCATTTGGACTTAAGTTTCATGCATGGTGACAGACATGGATCTATTTTCATTCTTTTTATGTTGACATCCAGTTATGCCAGCACCGTTTGTTGAAGATGCTTTCCTTTTTCCATTGTATAATTTTAGCTTCTTTGTCAAAAATTAGATGTTCATAGGTGGGTGTAGTAAGACCTAATGATTCTCTGAATTTCCTCAGTGTCTGTTGTTATGTCCCCCTTTTCATTTCTGAGTTTGTTAATTTGGATGTTCTCTCTCTGACTTTTGATTAGTTTGGATAAGGGTTTGTCAATCTTGTTGATTTTTCTCAAAGAACCAGCTCTGTGTTTCATTGATTCTTTGTATTGTTTTCTGTGATCAATTTTAGAGAAGGTTCCATGAGGTGCTGAGAAGGTATATTCTTTTGTGTTTGGGTGGAATGTTATACAGATGTCTGTTAAGTCCATTTGATTCATTACATCTGTTAGTTCTCTTATTTCTCTGTTAAGTTTCTGTCTGGTTGGCCTGTCCATTGGCAAGAGAGGAGTGTTGAAATCTCCTACTATTAGAATGTGGGGTTTGATGTGCGATTTAAGTTTTAGTAATTTTTTTTTTACATATGTGGGTGCTCTTGTATTTGGGGCACAGATATTCAGGATTGAGACTTCATCTTGATGAATTGTTCCTGTTATGAGAATAAAGTGTCCTTCTCCATCTCTTCTGATTGATTTTAGTTTGAAATCAATTTTATTAGATATTAGGATAGCCATACCCACTTGTTTCTTAGGTCCATTTGATTGGAAAACCTTTTCCCAACCCTTTACTCTGAGGTAGTGCCTGTCTTTGAGGTTGAGGTGTGTTTCTTGTAAACAGCAGAAGGCTGGATCCTGTTTTTGTATACATTCTCTTAGCCTGTGTCTTTTTATAAGTGAATTGAGTCCTTTGATATTAAGAGATATTAATGACCAGTGGTTGTTAACTCCGGTTATTTTTCAGTAGTAGTGTTTGTGTGTTTCCTTTCTTTGGGTTATGCTGGTGGGGGGTTATCAGATGTCTGTGTTATTGTGGATGTAGTTAGTGTCCTTGGGTTGAGGTTTTTCTTTTAGTACTTTCTGTAAGGCTGAGTTTGTGGATACATATTGTTTAAATCTGTTTTTGTCATGGAATATCTTGTTTTCTTCATCGATGGTGAATGAAAGCTTTGCTGGGTATAGTAATCTTGGCTTGCATCCATGGTCTCTTAGTGTCTGCAGCACATCTGCCCGGGACCTTCTGGCTTTCATGATTTCCATTGAGAAGTCAGGAGTAATTATGATAGGTTTATCTTTATATGTTACTTGACCTTTTTCCTTTGCAGCTCTTAATAGTCTTTCTTTGTTCTGTATGTTTTGTGTTTTGATTATTATATGGCAAGGGTTTTTTTTTTTTGATCCAGTCTATTTGGTGTTCTGTAAGCTTCTTGCACCTTCATAGGGATATCCTTCTTTAGGTTGGGAAAGTTTTCTTCTATAATTTTGTTGAATATATTTTCTGTGCCTTTGAGCTGGAGTTCTTTTCCTCCTCCGTTTGTTTTTTTAAAGATTTATTTATTTATTTATTTTGTACACAGTGTTCAGCCTCCATGTATGCCTACAGGCCAGAAGAGGGCACCAGAACTCATTACAGATGGTTGTGAGCCACCATGTGGGTGCTGGGATTTGAAGTCAGGACCTCTGGAAGAGCAGTCAGGGCTCTTAACCTCTGAGCCATCTCTCCAGCCCCTCTTCTTTTTCTTCTGCCCCTATTATTCTTAGGTTTGGCCTTTTAAAAATTTTTATTTATTATATATACAATACTCTGTCTGTGTGTATGCCTTCAGGCCAGAAGAGGGTACCAGACCTCATTACAGATGGTTGTGAGCCACCATATGGTTGCTGGGAATTGAACTCAGGACCTTTGGAAGAGCAGGCAATGCTCTTAACCTCTGAGCCATCTCTCCAGCCTTAAGTATGGTCTTTTCATAGTGTCCCAGATTTCCTGAATGTTTTGTGTTAAGAATTAGTTGGATTTAATGTTTTCTTTGACCAATGAGTCTATTTCCTCTATAGTATCTTCAGCACCTGAGATTTTTTTCTTCTATCTCTTGTATTCTGTTGGTTATACTTGTCTCTGTAATTCCTGTTGGTTTACCCAGATTTTCCATATCCAGAATTCCCTCGGGTTGTGTTTTCTTTATTATCTCTATTTCAGTCTTCAAGTCTTGAACTATTTCCTTCACCTGTTTGATTGTTTTTTCTTGGTTTTCTTTGATGGATTTATTAATTTCTTCCAATTTTTTGTTTGTCTTCTCTTCCATTTCTTTAAGGGAGTTTTTCACTTACTCTTTAAAGGTCTCCATCATTTTCATAAAGTTACATTTAAAGTCATTTTCTACTACTTCTTCTGAGTTAGAATGATCAAGTCTTCCTGTTGTGTGTCCACTGAATTCTGG